GGAGCTGTGGAGTCAGCGCTCAGTGTTGTTTCCATCCCCATGATCACCCACCAGCACTGAGAAGTGCTTGCTCTGCTGTCTCTGCCCCACATTTTTATAGTGCAGGGAAAGCAAGGGGTACCATGTAACCAGTAGAAGTGGACAGAAAGCAAGGTGAGATTTGATGGGCTGCGTGGAAGTCCCTGGCATAATTCAAGTGTCACGGGCTGGTTGGCAGTCCCACTCCATTTTCCTACCAGTTCCACCTGAGCCCTTCTGCAGTTCAGAGGTCTGATTATTTGAGTGTGAGAGTATATTCAAATCTGAAAAGCAAATAAATCTTTCACGTTGCTCACCCATGCCAAAAAAACTGAGAACAAAGGTTTCCTCACGCCCTTGGCTGGAACCAGCCAGGTCAGGGTTGTGGGCAAGGTGAACACAAGTTGAAAACACCCCGAGTTTCCTGCCTGCTGCTACTCTACAGTCTGTGAGCAGTCCCTCCTTCTTCCCCCTCTGTTTGCTCAGAGGCAGGTTGTTGACTTCTTTCCCTGCCCTCCTCTAGCAGCAGCACCTGCTCCGGAAGCAAGAGGAGACCAGAGCATGAATCACAACCTGAGTCACCAATTCCCAACACCTTGTTTTGCTCAGAGCCAGAGGGGAAAATTCCTTTCCTCTGTGTGATTCTCCAGCTCCAGACACCCTTCAGAAGAAGCTACACGCACCCCTCCTCTTCTTCCAAAACTGCACTCCATCGTGTGTAGCCATGCTTGAAAACAGCACCTGGAGGGCAGGAGAGACCACGTCTCACTGGGCTCTGTGGCAGTGTTTTGGTCATAGGCCCCTGAAATGATATGACCCCATCCCACCCCAAAACACAGGAGCTGAAATGAAGCAGCTCCATCACTGTATGTTCAGATCTTTGCTTTCAGTAGCCTCCAGGTCACTCATACAGGACTCAAAAGCTTACAGCAGTTTCTTTGAATGAATGTCATTTTCTGTTGGAGCACTACTCACCTCCCACCATGATGATTAATAAGGTAAGAGAGAGAAGATGTATCAACAACAACAAAAAAAAACAAAACCCAAAAACCCCAACCAAACAAAAAAACTCCAAAAAACCCAACCAAAACAAACAAAACTAAAGAAGCAAAAGTTGCTGATTTGTTAACTTTCACCTTTGCTGTGAATTTCCCCATTAAATACAGCTGTTTGTTGGGGACTGTTGCTTCCTCTTGTGATGTTTTTGTCAGCTCTCCCCAAAGCATTGGTAGATCTGTACTGAGGCAGAGGCAGGACAGTCCCTGCAGTGTCTGTCTGTGTGTGGCTTCTGTCAGTGCTGGCCTGTGTGCAGAAGTCTCGCACCGCTCTGTGGACACTCACATCATCTCCAACTCCTTAGAGACGGATCAAAGTTTCAAGCTTAGAAACTTTTTTCAGCCTTCATTGCTTAGCTAACTGACAGGCATCCTCTGAAACATCTGCCATTGCTGCTCTGTGGAACTGGGTCTATCAGTCTGCTGGGAGATAAATTTCTCTGTAGACTTTCCAAAGAGAATGCTTTCCATTCCTGCTGGCTCAACAGTATGGAAGCACTTGACTATGCAGCTATGGAACATATGTCTTCTTTGGGAGAAAAGTGTTTTAACCTGTAGACTTTTGTAGAATCTTCACTTACCACCTTTCAGGTTAAAAAGTTTGACTGAAATTTTGAAGTCTACTTTGATTCCCCGATAGAGATTGTGAGCTTTCAGGATTTCATTGGGAATCCAGACAGAGGATAAAGTCACCAGATGTTTCAAGTACAAAGCAATCTGCCTCTGACCTAAGGAGTGCAGCCTTTTGCATCTTCCAGATGCATTGAGGAGATGAATAAGGGTAGACAGAAGGGAGACTCCACCTCACAAACTTGAGAAAGCTTTTCTCAAGTGTGAGTCCCTGCACCTTTGTTAATATTCTGAGAATCATCTCAGCTGGGGGACGTTCAGACTTTAAATAGTTTCGTATTTTTCCGGGCTTTCAGGGTGTGAGTGTGTATGACAAGATCACTGGGAATTAAGAGCTGGGTTGTGTGTGAAGCTGAGAGCTCAGGGCTATATTTGTGCCAGGAATGGAGGGAGCACTTGCATTGTTCAGCGTTGCCTACACTGAACGATAAACAGCTGTTTTCTGTTTGGACATGTCAGTCGAAAACTGTAACTTTGATTTAATAGAGACCAGAATTTGCTCCAAAATGAAGATGTAGTGGCTGATAGAAACAATAATAATTGCATTCTTTCTATACCTTTTCCTTGTATCTCGTTGAATCAGTGCCTTTAATTTGGGTGGGTGATGCAAGACTGTATTAAACGCCGTAGGAAGATGGGGAACCCTGCTGTCAAATCAAGCAATGCCATGACCCCAGAGAATTTTACACATCCTTCCCACATCAACATGGCTACTCCATATTGAGATTCTACTCTTCTAGTGATAATTAAAGCAAATAAAGCATTGATCTAGTACAGGAACTTCCTGGTCAACTTACCTTTAGTTATCTCAGGTGATGTTTCAAAACAAGAATAATTTGTCTGCTTCCTGTCTAGGTATTCTTACCTTGCCCAAGGTTTACTCTTGGTGCACACTGTCTCTCTTTCAGGACCTCTCTTAGGGTCCTGCTCTCCGTTTTTTTTTTTTTTCCTTATCTGTTTTTGTTGTTTCTGTTTTATTGTTTCTGGTTTTGTTTTGTTGTTGCTACTCTCTTTTCCTTCTCTGCTCTCTCCAGACAGTCCAGAGAGGTCTATTCCTAATAGTTTGCAGAAACTTGACTATTTTGTTCAGGAAAGACTTAATTCAGATATTTTTTGGAAGCCACCTCACTCAGAAGCAGGCACTTAGCCTCCAGTCATGCTATTCTTGTCAAGACCTATATAAAATATTACCTCACAAGCAAGTCGGGAACTGATAATATCAAACAGAATTTGTAAGTTTTATGTAGGCTCTATTATTAATTCTCTCTACACTTCAAAGTTTGATATCTTGAGTCCAAGAATAATGATTTGCTAATTGCCAGCTGTTCAGCTGGCTGGTCCTTAGTTTGAGACACTGCTGGTGGCTGGTGCCTTGTGGTGGCTGAAGGACTGCCACCGAGCCCTGTGCTCTGAGGTGTTCCCATGTTACCAGGGGCAGGTAGCTGGTAAGAGCTACAAGGTGACCCACACTGAAAGAGAAAGAGCTGGGTTCTGCAGGGCTGCAAGGCTGCAAACACAGTAACAATATTAAAGGACACACACACAAATGTCAGTCAGACCCAGGGAAGTAGGATATTTGAATGGCATATTGCAGGAGGATGTTTTTCCTTAGCAAAAGCAAACACTTTTGGTTGATTCCACTTCTTTTTGTCCTTATGTAATTCTCACAGTGTTGTGTCTTCACAGACTGAGGGAACATAATCTAATCAATGCTTTTTTCATGCCACAGGAAATTGCTGTAGCTGAACAAGTGCCTTACAAAGGGCACTCTGAGACATAGAGAGCAGTTGAAGGAGACTTAGGAATGTTGTTGTAAATAGAAATGTTAAGATATGGGTCCACAACAGCCTAAACTGGGCTAAATTTGACCTAATATATTCTCACCTTTCCTGCCAGTTCTTCCTTGAGCTCTGAACTAGCCACAGGGTTCAAGGGACCCAACCAGATGAAAACCAGCCCTCCACCTTCCTCACAGAAGGTGATTGGGTTTTAGTTGGATCAGCTCAAAACACGGCGTGTTTGGACATGAATGCTGACTAGTAAGAGCAAAGGGGTGGGAACACAAAGGCAGAGCAAAGGTAGTCTGATGTAATCCAGTTTGAGTTGCTACTGAAACTACCCATAGTCTGTGTAAATACTAGTAAAATTGGATGTGCCTGGGAATATTTCCAGGCACTAGAATGAGATTATCTATGCTATTAGACTGTTAAAATGCTTCCTGGCATGAATTTGACCTCTCCCAATTAACACTCACTGCAAACCATTTCTGGGCATAATTTGGTTGCTAGAATGGTCCCAATAGGTCCTTTGTGATCATAAACTCAGGTCTTTTTGTGCCAGCTGGCCTCAATGCCCAGGAATGTTTCAGGCATGTTGAATTTATGTAATATAGACCCATCCCTACTTTTACTATTGCAAATCCTTATGAAAAGACAGGACTTGTCTTGAACAAATGATTTTTAAAACAGACAATAGCAGAGCATAAAAGATGGGAAGAGATGAAATTTGGAAATAAAATATTTGATTTCCTTTTAATAAGGTGGTAAAGAATACATATTTTTCATTCATTTCAGTTTGGGAAGGCAGAGGAGAGATAGCAATAACTTGTTGTGCAGTCATTTCTGTGCTGTAGCATATTCGGCCACTTATTAGGCGGAGTTAAGGCTGACATGATTATTTTTTCAAGTCAGTTGTTGTACTGGGATTGAAATTATTCCTTCTTCTGTATATTAAAGAAGTCCACAACTGCAGCATTTCCCTTTCAGTTTGGAATGTTAATAAAATCAATGTACTTGGTATCTTGAAGTACTGAAGCCAAGTCCTCCATTTTAATCTGTGATTGATCTTTTGGGTTTGCTTCTTTGTTTTTTTGTTGGGTTTTTTGTGTTGGTTTTTGGTTTTTGTTTTTTTCCACAATTGCCTTTATGAGTTTCCCTTCACATCAGGAAATCTGAAAAAGTGGGATTTTTACATCTCTCCAGGTATACTCACTTGGCAATCTTAATGATCCATCTCCCCTCAGGGCACAATTAAAGGTGTTATTTTGAAGGAGCCTTAAAAGAGTTGTTGTACCTGGTCTCTTGGCTGGGTTGCTCTAGGACCCAGAGTGACTGGGACTGACAGAAATCTTCACCTGAATGAATTTTCCCCGTATGCCTTATAAGGAGTCCAAGAAAACAAGGAAGTGATAACCATGTTCACGTTACTGTGTGCACAGCTTGTCCTCTTTACCTGCCCAGGTAGCCCTTGTTTTCACTTTTGTTCATGGTCTGTCCCGCTGGGGTTGAAGTTTCCTCGCAATCCGGTGTACGTGACATCTGAAAACATTCCCTCCAGGAATGCATGGTTTTTACGACATTCTACCTTTACGCAGACGATAATTAACAAGCTAATATTTTTTTGTCATGCAGCCAACACTGAAAACGAATGGGGATTGAATTGCTTTGCCTCTGTTTCCTATTTCTGCAAAGAAATAACTATGTGCAAGGTAAGGCTAAGGGGCAGGGTGATCAATTTCAAAACCATTTTGCATTGTTTCTTGCTTGAAGTTGACATGAAATAGCTCTCTGTCTTCTGTATTTAATCTTTACTTTCTGTTTAATGACTTTTTTTTGACTGCTGTAGGGCTGCATTGCCAATTCATCTACAATTTGGTGGCCATTACATAACACAACAGGTTTGAAAGAGACAGACATTCGAACAATTTTGTTTTTCACTAATCACAGTTTGATCTGCTAAGAATCTTTCATATTATACATATGACTGAGTGTTTCTCTAGCAGTTACACAATGGATAAAAATCATATCAAGTATCTACAGAACTGAGTGGAGCAATTTTATGCATACAGAGTGAGAATAAATCTGTTCTTTTAATATCCCTGGCAATGCTGGAAATTACTTAGCTACACCATCCTAGAAACACATGTAACACTCTATCAGGTGCACTGGAGGGAACCAGTTAATATGTTCTAAGTGAATGCCACCCATAAAGCAGGCAAAAGGAGGTATGTTAATTGCCAGCAATTCTGAGGTTTGAATCTTTATTGGAGAGTTAATCTTTTACCAATAGAACTACCGTTAAGAAGAAATTTTATCAGTCATCCTAAATATGGCTAAATGTGTGCATTTTTCACCACCTACATTCTCTAAATGACAAGTTTCTTCATAAATTGAATGATTAAGCATATTATTAACAGCCTTTTATCTTCTTGGATTTAAATTCAGGGACCTGTTCTCAGGAAAGCGCAGTGACTTGTGAAGATTGTTTGCTTTCCGGACCACACTGCGCTTGGTGTTTGCAAGAGGTAGAGTGATAAAAAAAAATTCAAAGTAAGACTTGAAGTCTTTGTAGTCACTCCGAGTGATGAAGTATTGACTTAATTGGGTCAGCCCACAGTTTTGTAATGCATGCAGCACTTAGTGAAGTCTTCCTGGGGATCAGAAGTGGAATTTAATCTACATGGTCTGTTTTTCACAGTATGGTTGTTTGGATATTTGTTTGTTTGTTTGTCTGTTTGTTTGTTTGCTTGCTTGAAAAAAAAAACCCACTAAAACATCAACCTTCCAAATCTAAGGCAGAAATAGAAATGTTATTAGGGGGTCTCAGATCATCAGCCCAAGGGCTAGCTCACCCCCAGCACTGATGATGAAGCACCAGACACAAAGTCAGAGGCCAGACTGTATCTTACAGATCATGTGCCCAGCCAGACAATGTAAACAGAAGGTTTGCAGGTATCAACAGTGTAAAAGTTTGCAGATATAAAACTTCCATATAGAAGTTATTAATCTGTGGTTGATTTTAAATATGACAAGGTCGGCTTTATAATTTATATGATATAGATGTGTTTTGGCTAAAACATTAGACTTAAAAAATATATCTGGATTTGTTTCCTATACCTTTGTTTCATATTTTCAGTGCAGCCCTGGGCAAGTGGTTCCACATCTCTGCTTTTAAAACTTTCTCCTATAAATGGTGTTAAATAGTATCTCCCCACTTGACAGTAAATGTTCTAGATCTTAGTTCATTGGCATTAACAAGATAGTCAGCTATTGCAACTAAATACTTGTCAGAAATAGTAGAGAAATAAAGTAAGTATTTTTAATTTTATTTTCTGGATTGCACCTTTGCTGCTAACAGTTTTATTGTTCTTGTGTACAGCAAAATGACACTTAGTGTGGGACTAAAATACTCTTCATGAAATAGCTAAGAAAGAAAAAACTGCATATTTAAAAAAAAATATAAAAAGACATCTTTTGCCATTTGCATAATATGTTACCATGGAGGTCTAAAGGACCCCACATTACAGTATTTGCAATAGTTTTTATATTTTTACTATAAAACAGGATTTTGTTGAAATTGGATCACATAATTTTTATTACTGCCATGTATTTTCAGGGAAGAAAAAGAACCCAATATAAATTATTGATTTATTGAGTTAAAAATACAAAACAGACAAAACTGTGGAACTGTTGAAAATTTCACTGTAGTGAACAGTGAAGATTTAGATTTTTCTTCTTTGTTCATGTTCTTTGTTAGAAAACAGCACATCGGGCGTGCAAAAAACATAGGAGCTTTAGTGTCATAGCAAACAAAAGCACCTCCAAAGTAACCACTGTTTTCTGTAGGATAAGAACACACTTTGTATTTGAAATAAGAGATTGTTTCTTCACGGGTTTTGAAAAGTTACAAACTGTGTAACTAAAGGAGATTATATGGATCTCCCTGTGAAAGGTTTATAAGGGTACATGTCATTTATGTGTACTGTATGCAAGAAGCAGCGGGTCAGAGTTTTGCCTGAGCAAAGGCATCAGGTTCAGTCTGGAAAATAATAAACCACTGTTCCCAGCAGGTGCCTCAACACTGTTTCCACCTAAATATATAAGATCCCTGACAATTCTCAGGCATGAAGCATGATATATTGGTGGAAAAAAGGGTCATAATTCTGGTTTTAATAGGTTTAAAACAGATTTGTTTTGTTTTGCATGGAAAGTTTTTCAGTGACTGAATTCAGAGAATATTTGTGGTCCAGTGGCTGATGCATGGGTTGCTTGCCCAAGCCTAGGAGAAAAGAGCAGATGCATGATATGGGCCCATGACCATCCACCAGGAATTGAATGTTGCAGAGCTGATTCTGTCAGACATTGCCCAGGTTTTGGACAAAAAAGCTTGCAGGTCAGAGCAGTTTCTGGGAGACAGCTGACTGATTTTGAGAATTATAACTCTAGATGTAGTTCTGGGAAATGGTAATAAGACACAGAAGCCTCTTTGTAAAAGTAACCATTAACTTCAGCACCATGTGAGGTTAGTACCTACCCTGTGGCAGTGCTGTGGAAAGGAATGCATATCACTTCTTTCAACTGAGTAATGAAAATAAACTGTGAGATATCCAGTTGATATCTGTAGGCTTGTGATTTCCTCTGGCTGGGAGAAGGTCAAGGAGGATTCTGGGCCAAATTTAGGTGTGGGGATGCTGAGAGCACCATTGGTGCTGAGGAACTGTGGGGACAGGCTGTGGTCATTCTTGGGCACCAGGCAGAGGAACAAGGACTCGATGCCTGCTTCAGTGAACAGGTTAAATTAGAGTGGAGCAGAAAGTGTAGGCCAGAAAAGAAGAACCAGTGAACACTGGGTACCCACATATTGGTTTGTCACAAATTGTCCAGGAGTTTATTATCAGCAAGACCTCTTTTATTAAAAGACATGCTTCAGTCAGCAGTTCAGAACTGTGTAGGAAAGACTGATGAATTTGTGGCACAATCCTGTGATAGAAAAACCAGTGGCTCAGAGGGGCTTTGTGTTATCATTCCCAGTACTGCGAGAAGCCAAATGCAGTGAGTGGCACAATTCCCATTCCCCAACAATAGAGCAGTTTCTCCCAGGATAGCAAGCCAGTGTAAGTTACATTAATTATACACCTGTGTGACATGACCCATGAAGAGCAAATTTGGGTTTCTGTGCCACCTGTATCTAGTTCTATACTAGTCTGCACAAACTTGCACCTTTGTTTCCATTCCCTGCATTGGACTGACCTTTTATCTGGCAGGTGCTGGTGGCTAGTCAGTAAAAACATTTAACTCATCCCTTCCTTCTCCTGTTTGCATTAGAATTACACAGACTCGTCTGGAATTCATGGGAGGTGTGATACCCTGGAAAATCTTTTGTCCAAAGGATGCCAGTTGAATTCGATTGAGTTTCCCATTTCAGAAGTAGAAATTCACAAAAATGATCCCCTAACGGCATCAGCCCAGAAGAACAGTTCTGATGTCACACAGATTTATCCCCAGAAATTAACTCTGAGGCTGCGACCAGGTAAGTCACAGTTCATAGGTTTATTTCAGACAGTGTGAAGAACTGAAACTTCTTGGATTGAACAATCTAAAAGATATCTTGACAGAATAAAGACGAAAACCTGTAAACCTGTTTTAAGTCCAAAATTATCTGTTGACTCATCGCATGAAAACTAGGTTCAGCTGAGTTCAGAATATTTTCAGAAATGCTGGGTACATCATAAAAATAAGGATATATATTTTTAGTTCCTCTCTTCTCTTGCCAGTGAGGTGGCAGGGAGAGAATGAAAGCCCCTGGCTCCTCCCCAGCTGAGCTCCTGTGCCTCTCCCCTGCTGGTCTAGCAAGCGCAGTATCTCAGAGGCAGCATAAAAACTTGCTTTGAGGATTTACAAGGTACTAGTGACATTAATGGTAGCATTCCTGAACTACCCTGGGGTCCTTCAGATGTGAATTTTTCCTGGAGAAAATTTGGAATAGAAAAAAGTAAGAGACATCCAGTTAGGTCAGGTCATACTGTTGGAACTGAGAATAAAATCTCTGTATACACTTTGTTTAAATTTATAAAGGATATGGTAGGACCCCAAAGTGCTACCTCTAGTTCAAATTAGTTTCATATCTAAATTTTCTAAAGATGCATAGTGCTGAAAGAATGTTTTCATATTTTTTCAAATTATAGCAATTGATTTTAATTCTGTGCTTATTGCATTATGAAAAACTGTTCAGAAAAAACCCAAACATTAGAACTACTTTTAATTTTTCAGACCCTTATTTGAGATATTTTTGTTGACAATTTATGAATTTTTTTTGTTAATACTACTGGTGGTTTGAAATACCAGATAATTGTCACCATAGAGAAGTTTATGAAGAAATTGGCATTGCTCGTGTTCTCTGCACAGAAGTTCTGATATGTATCTCACTTTCCCCTGACCTTAATAGGATACGAAGAAACAATACAGATCAAGGTTCGCCAGACTGAAGATTATCCGATTGATCTCTACTACCTCATGGATCTTTCAGCTTCCATGGATGATGATCTGAATACAATTAAAGAACTGGGTTCAACTCTTTCCAAAGAGATGTCAAAATTGACAAGCAACTTTAGACTGGGGTTTGGATCTTTTGTTGAAAAACCAGTTTCACCATTTATCAAAACTACAGCTGCAGAAATAAATAACCCTTGCAGGTAGGCAGGGAAAGTCCCTACATCTGTTTGTGTGCCAACGCTGTCATAATATTAATCTTTAGGCTAAAATTGATTTCACTGGAAATTCTCCCCTCTTCCAGCTGTTGATGAGTCAGTTTGTGGAACAAGTTTTGGTTCTTTGAATCTCACCCTCTTACCTTCACTCTGTTGAGTCTTATGTTATTAGGATAGAGGAATCTGGGAGTGAGTCTCCTTTTAGCTTTTGCTGCTAGTTGCAAATATGCTTAATATGTTAACAAAAAGGTATCCAGCATGTAGTTTTCTATTTTTTTTTTATTTTTCTTTAATTTCTTTCCTTTTCTGGAATATGTGTATAAATGTATATATATATATATATATATACAAGAATTTTATGAACTATACTAAAGAGTTGCAAACTCAGACCCAACACAGAATACCTGTATCATTTAGCCACCAATGCTATTCTCCTGCTTTCCCCACTCCCCATCCCACCTTAAGGTCTAGCAGTCTCTGCAGCCCCTGGCTGCCCTAGCCCTTAGCTAATCTGTGTAGGGGAGAACCTGGAGCAGGACTGCAGCACCTTGGTGGTTGTCTCTGAATGCCATTAAGGAGGTACAGATCCCAATATTCTTCCGAATATGAGATCAAGGCATAGCAGGGGGCATGGCAAGGGCTGCACTTTGGTAACTAGCTGAATTTCTCTGCTCTAGGAGACATTTCCCAGCCTTTATGTGGATTTTTTTCTGTTGCCCAAATCACTGAATGCTCTTTAATTACCTTAGATTTTTCACTAAATCTTCTCAGGCACAGACAAAAGACAGAAGACGAAAACTAATCCAGGGAGGCCTCTGAAGCAGCCATTACAGTGATTTTTCACCCTCTATTATCCATAAGCTGTCTCACTTTTCTTACAGAAGTGTACCATATGAGTGTTTACCCACCTTTGGATATAAAAATGTTTTGCCACTAACAAATGATACTGAAAAATTCAATGAAATTGTGAAAGGACAGCGAATTTCTGCTAATATAGACACTCCAGAGGGAGGATTTGATGCAATTATGCAGGCAGCTGTTTGCAAGGTAATTGAAACTTCTAGGTATAATATTATTCTATATATTATCTCTTCTAGTATTATATGTTGGTATTTCAAAGTGACAGATTATTTTTCAAAAATTTTTAACACAAACCAAGAGCCTCATTAAATTTGTGTGAAAATACTTTTGGCTGTACAAGTAAAACATTCATACTGCAATATTTTAGTCTAAGTTTCCTTTTAATTGCCAGGGAAAAATATGGCTATAATTGCTGGGTCTGGTTTTCTGTTTAAATATTTTTTTTATTAACTCTGTTTAGAGTAGTAAGCAGATTGACATGAACATGGCCAGCCCATGTTATTAAACACAAGGATGCGGAAACAAAATGTTAGCCAAAGACAATGGAATGAACATAATTTCTTAGGAGATGTGTTGTCTTTGATACCTCCTTGAGAGCAAGGCTATTCATTTGTTTTGAGACCCCATTCTCCAAATATTTTACTGTTTTACTATGTTGTGATACAATATATCTTGCTAATCTGATGTGTTTTAAATGACAGGAAAAAATTGGATGGAGGAATGATTCTCTACATTTGCTGGTGTTTGTGAGTGACGCTGATTCCCATTTTGGGATGGACAGTAAACTGGCAGGGATTGTTATTCCTAATGATGGGAATTGTCATTTGGACCATAATAATGAATATTCCATGTCAACTGTTCTGGTAATTGCCTACAAATTTTGTACACTCTCACATATTGGAAATTTAGAGACTAACACAGACAACTAAGAAAATGAGTGAATTACACTTTTAACACTGAAATGTGTAAAAGCTGGGGAATCCAGATATTTCATGTAATCTATTTTATCTGTAACTGCATGTTTCAGTAAAGAGAGAAAACTGTGTTTGTATGGAATTTGGATATATTATAACTAAGAAAAAAGAAAGAACAAATATGATTTCTACAACAGGAAAGCCCATGCAATTAGACTAAATGGTATTTCTTTCTGCAGGGAAGGCAAGATTTGCATTAATTATGTTCCCTGAAAGGGTGTCAATTCAGGACCAGTTCAAGAATTTGCAGGACACTATTCCTGCATTTACCAGCTTAAGATTCAGTGTTCAAAAATACTGAATGTACACACTGTGGTCTTCATTGTAGGACAAATACTGTTGCTCTGCTGCAGTGTTGTTCTTTGGATTAAATATGATATATATAACACAGATGCTACTGAGCCAAAGCCCCCACTATGGAATCTGGCTTTGTACTTGTCACAGAGGGTTCTCCTTAAAAACAACATGAGGAAATTATATGTACTATCTTTTATTTTATATACATGTATTCCTAATTAAAGTTTATACTACACAGAGAACAAAGTGTTCATTATGATCACTTGAATGTTTCTTTCATGGGAGAAAGGAAATGAAAGCACGTGAGAAACAGGTTGATTTGCCTCTCTTTTGTTTGTTTGCAGGAGTATCCCACAATTGGACAATTAATCGACAAACTTGTGCAAAACAATGTTCTGTTAATTTTTGCTGTAACGAATGAGCAAGTTCACATATATGAGGTAAGCAAACTAAAATGTTCAGTTTGGCAATGTTTGTTTTAAAGTTCACCTTTTTTACAGTTGATGCAGTAATTCTAGTGCTAAGGACTGAATTCTACAAGATAATTATGTGATAAAAATAACTAGGAAATTGTATATCAGAGGAAAGCTCTTCTGCTTAAGTGCTTCTTCATGTATTGATTTTGGACTTCTAAGGTAACTTTGAAATCAAGGATTGACAAACTATGCACTGCTAAACTATGCAGTGTAATCACTGTAATTAGGCTTTTGTATTTTACAAGGCTAGAGGAGAGCTGAACCTTTTCTTACTTTTATAAGATGAGAACATACCTTGAAACATGCAGCTATCTTCAGAGCTCAGCTCTGAGATCTTGGTTTGTTGGGTTTTTCTTTGTTTCTGTGACCCTTTCAATTATTTCATTTTCTGTCTAGTCCTGCTCCTGGGAAAAAAATCTTAACACACTAAAAGAGATTCTAGGTAAGAGTTCATCATGGGTACTAAGGGGTTTTGCAGCCTAAGCTTGGCTGCCTGGTTACACCCTGTTGTGTGAAAGGGGACAAGCAGAGTGAAATTGCTTGTCTAAATTTATTCAGGTTGGCTGAGAGGAAGCCAATAAGGATGATCCTGGTGATACAATAAGACCAGCTTTCTGAAGGAGAAGCCTTTGCAAAACATTCTGTATTAACAGCAGAAGTGCAGTAATGAGGAGAGGTGCTCCTCTGCTGTGATTGTCACATGGAAAATAGGAAAGAAAGAGTAGGGAAAAAGAGAGAGCAGCTGAGTCCTTGAGGTAGCCACCAGTAGGATGGTTTTCTATTTCTGTCTAACCCAGGGAAGACCTCCCTGTACTTCTGCAACTGGTTCCAGGGGTGGAGTTGATGTGAGTAAGATTGGTGCTCCAGCTGTTTGACAAAAGTGACAAGAGTCGCAAATTGCATAAACTGATTCTCAGATTCCAGCCTTGACGAGGGGAGGAACACTGTGTCTTGAAGCACTGACTGCCTTGCTCTTTTGAAGACTGTATTGAATACTGAGCTGGATCATGAAAATTTAGATTGATAACAGTAGAAGTCAATCACTTACAAATGGAGTGCCTCCAACAATTTCTTAATAGAGATCAAATTAATGACAAGTGAAATATTTTTCCTTATAGGTGATTTTTAATGCATGCTTCATGAATAAGGGCTTTTTCTGGGAAGGTAGTTTGAAAATACCTGTTTGATTTATAGAGCCTTTTTTTTGTCCAAAGAACTATTTTTCTTGCTGGTGGCACTGTATTTTACCTTGGAAGTTGCTTGTGGTCACCCTTGAAGTTGTCCACAGGCATTCTTACCAAGATGTTTCTATTTCAGTATGCCTGTGTCTTATGTCAGTTTCAAAGCTACCAAGAGGTACCCTTTCCCTGGTAACAGGGAACACTGAACAAGGGCTTATAGCTAACACAAAACACAAAATCATAGTTAACCCAGCTAGGGAATGGTTTGCTCTTGTTACTTTCTTTCTTAGAAAAAAGAAAATACAACTACCTTCTATCTTATAGCTTGTACAGTAATCCTACTGAATATAGTCTATCTGCTGATTTAGCCTTTTAATACTGCTTTCTTTCACTAATATGGATAGCTGTATTTATTGTGGTCTGCTTTTTGTCCAGTAGGTGATGTAGAAAATTGGTCAAAGAAAGTACAAAAAATCATACACAAATGTCACAGTTCAGTTTTTCCAGACAGCAATTACCTTTAAAGAGCCTGCGTAGAATGTGGTAACAGGGAAATAAATATTGCTGTGTTTTCATCTCTGTAATGTAAATTTGTAATATTAACATAAATAATCTGTATCTATGCTTAGGAATGTAAAAAGAACAAAGCAAGACAATGAGAATTATTCTTGTGCTAAGGCCCCTGCTACGGTAGCCTGGAAATGGTGGCAGAGGACTCTAAACTCTAAAAGTTTTGGTGTTTCACTTCTCTTGAAAGCTTTGGTAGTGGGGATTCTGTAGTCTCCCTGAAAAAAATTTTCCATTTATCCTTTGAGGTGGAAAGACTCTGTCCAAATATCTCAAATCTACTTGAACTCGGCTTCTAATTGCATCAGATACCAATACTGACTCTCGCTATTTATAATAGAGTTCTCAGGGACAAGCTTACATTAAAATTACTGTGAGGACTTAGAAAGCACCTCTTTAAATAGACTTAATGGATTCCATTAGTCTTAAGTGCTGTGTTCAGACTGTCAAATATGTATTTTGTATTTCTAGCCCTGTATAATCCCCAATAATTTTGCCCAAAATAATTCAGTCATGTAATATTCTTGATCCTCTTTAACAGAATTTTCAGTTTGTCCACTTACATGTGTATTATTATCTAACACAAATATTAGGGGTGGCACAAGCACAGAACACCTATGCTTGTAACAGGGCTAGTGTTGCTTTCGAACCTTCCATGCACCTAAAAAACTACTGCACAGTAACCTCAAGAGATCATTTAGATCTCTTGGTGCAAAAGAAGAGAGAAAATTCTTTGCACTGAGCCCTGATAATTTGAGATTACTTTTTAAAAGGAATTTTTGTTTAAAAAAAAAAGGTATTTTTAATATATTCGTGTATGTCTAACTTCTAGCATCAGTAGTCTCAGCTGAGTCTTGCCAAAGCAGCAGGGGATGTTTTCATTCTATACAAGCTAGTCACTCAAAAAGCATCTGTGGATATGGCAATAATAATTATATTTTAACCACTCCTATTTTGGTATAAAACAAAACACTGGTCTTTAAACTTTCATGAAGTAGCTGCTACTATTGCTGATGTTATTTGTTTTCAAGTGGAATTCTTTAAAAATTTATTCAAACTTAGATAAGGGAAAGACTCCAGCTTTAGTCCTGACTAAGTAGCATTTCTTTTGAAACAAAAGTTGCTCTTTTTTGGATGAATTGTTTCTTTTTATATCACAGGATAAATAGCTTGAAAATGGGGGTTTCAGCTGCACTGCTGGAAATTGAACTAAAAATACTTTAGTCTGCACACTCATACAGAATTTCAAATTATTTTTATATATTTGGCATGGCACACTATTTATGTTGAAAATTCTTCTATCATTTACACTGCTGAAATAGAGACATAACCCCAGTGGGCTCAAATATATAATTGTCAAAGTATCCCTATAAAATGGCAGTTCACCTTTTAATGAATATTTGCCAAAGGACCAAATTCTGTGATATCCTTTGGATGTTTTGCAATAGTATCACCCCAAAAGCATCAGTCTGCCTCACCTTGGCAATGGTTGAACAGAAATATTGCTAAGAGGTGAGGTTTAACCAATGGACTGGACACACACACTCAGCCTGGGCTTGAAATGCCATCCTTGTATCACCATGCAGAAAATTTTTGCTCATAGAGGAGGGATCAACCAAACTGTTCAGGGCAGCATATCCCTGCTGTTTGTTTTGCATACCACAGATTAAAGGGGACTGTATTTTAAATTCCAGATTTGTCATCTTTTCTCTCAGAAGGTCCACATGTATGAAACACAGAGTTTCAATATTCCAGGAATCCTTGAGAGGGCACTAATCACAGGAGGAGTCAGGAATGCAAAGTCGCCAGCTGTAACATAAAATGCAGTTAATCCCACTGATTTACAATAGCACCAGAAATCTAATGAATGATAACTATTCCATACATAATACATAACGTAATCACAGAGCTTTTGGAGATATGAAGGATAAGAAGAATATAAAAGTATCAAATTACCCATGTTTATTAATAGTTCTCTGGATATTTTCCTTTATTTAAAATAACAGCATTGACATGATAATGTGTAAAGGAAAACTAGTGCTACGATGCCTCTTTTTAAATGATGAACACATTGTTTTCCAAAGGCATGGGTTAAAGCAAGGGAAGTTCATGTAGTTAAAAATCAAGCAAGACAAATTTTAATTCGCTGTATTTAAAATCTAGCTATCAGATATCATGTTAGTGCCTCAGTGCAATTTAATACAAAAAGAGAAGAAAATTTATCACTGAAATAAATTGCTAAATAGGCACTCTATTATTCACAGAAATTCAACATACAATCCATTAGAGCCACAGAGCACTGAGATACATGTGCAAAGGTAAAAATGTGACTGCAGATGCTGAATGTAGGGTCCAAGACCCCTGAACAGTGCAAGAACAATCGAGCAGATCAGTCTGTTTCTGGATATTTTTATTAAAGAGAAATGCAAATGTTGATAAAACATATCTTCCTTCTAAATTTGGACAAACTAGAGCTTATAGAGCAGTATCAAACTTCCAATATAGAGATGATTTAAGAATGTATGTTCAATGAATTTCAAATTAAAGCAGCTCTTCTCCATCTGACTTTTTTCATTAAGAACATGCAATGGAGACTGCAGGAATCCTTGAAAATGTTACTCTCATTTATTTCAGTTGGCTTTAATGTACTTGGTTTTGTTATCTGCTCCTTCATTTTTATTTTGGCTTTTTTTTTTTTTGATGGGGTGTTTTTGGGGGTGCTTTATTTGGGTTTTTTCTTTCTCTGGGTTTGAGGTTTTTTTAGATGGTAGCTTCTTGTCACCCAGGCTTTTGTTGGGTTTTAAATCAATTTTTTATATTTCCAGAATTATGCAAAGCTTATTCCTGGGGCTACCGTTGGACGGCTACAGAAGGATTCTGGAAATATTCTCCAGTTGATCATTGCTGCATATCAGGTAAGAGGGTTACAATGTGGTTTCTTCCTTCATGTTTACATGAAACAATGTTGGTTGGCAGTTTGATAAAAAGAATTGTCTTTAATTCCTTTTATAAACTGATTACATAATTTTTTATGTTAGATGCTGACCTTAACAGAAAAAGTGTTCACTCTGAGGATTAAGTAAGCAAAAAAACAAAATTCCTGTAGCCTTCTGTCAATTCTTAGTTCTGCTAGAATGGTGAATTTAAATCAGTGTGTCATCTGCATTGCCTTCTTCATATTCCTGTATTTTACACCCACTCATAAGCCTTCTTTAATATTCAGATCTCTCAGTTCCACATCTCAACAGGGACTCAACTCTCCCTGTTGGTAGCTGCCACCAGAGTGGACAAAAAATTGCTTTGCAGGAATATCTGAGGAGAAAAACACTATTCTGTGCTCAGTGCTCTTCTCTGCTTTAGCAATTTGATGCTGCCTCTGTGAGGCTGTTCTGAGGTTTTCAAAAAGAGAAACATAGGAGTCAATGTGGGTTTGTTTAGGTAATGCCAGGACTTGGATGGGTTTGTTTAAGTAATTCAAAGAAATACTGTAATGATGTCAGGAACATAAACACAGCACTGCTCTTCAGAGCTTTGTTTGTAAAACACCTCCTGGGTGCCTAGTTCTCTTCTGTCAGAGGGGTGTTTCTGAGCAGCTGTACAGATCTTTGCACAGATATATTAATTTACAAATACACTGATATTCCATAGATTTCTCTGATCCATCTCAGCCCATTTTTATTAGAAACCTGCTCTACAGGTTGTCTACAATGACAAATAACTCTTTGCAAATAGCTTCTCTTTCTTTGCTTACTTTTTTTTCTGCTCTAATAGCTTCTCTTTCTTTCCTTACTTTTTTTTCTGCTCTTTCTTCTAACAACTAAGATTGTCATCGTTGTGCCAAAGTTACTTTGGTCTTAGTGATAGGAAGGAAACCAAACTCTTCTAAATCTTATAAAAGCAATGAAGGTAATACAATTGCTGAATTATGACTTTTAAAAATGAAATGCAAGTACCAGGACGTTCTCCATTTTATGAATTTTTTTTAAGGAGAGTACTTCAGGGTTAATCTTGGGAGTGTACAAATTGTAATAAATGAAGAGGAGGAAATTTTCTTATGAGCAAAGTTATTGCTAAACTTTGAGTGGCAACAGAATTTTACTTCTGGATTACAACCTGCTGCTGGTCACATCTGGTTCCTATCAGCATTTCTCCAAGCTGGCAGTTTAATGTATAGACACAGGTTCCTACATTTAACAGCTGTAATACCATTTTATTGTCAGTAAGTAATGGGAAAACACACAAAAATTGTCCCAGTGCTGTGTGTTTTTGCTGTAACATAGGTGTGGAATGGCATCTCACTGGAATATTGAAGATGTGAAGAGTGAATCCTTGCCTCTTGTCCTTAGCATCCCCTTATGTTCCTGCAGCCTATAATTTTTTTCCTACTATAATTTTTGAACCTGCTGATACTGTGGGCCTCTGTTGCCTTCTATGACAAGAAGGGGTTCGGTTTCACTGTGTCAAGGCACAATTTTCTTATTCCTATTTTAATCTGCTTCTTATGCTTTAAATTTTCACTGAGTCCACCCTGGTTCCCAAGTTGTAGGGTTTGGTGAATAACAGCTCTGCATTCCCCTTATCTTTGTGTCTTCATCATTTAATTTATTGTGTTACTGAGACACTTTTCACACCCTCATTCTTCTCTACCAGTTAGAATCCCAGTCTTTTAAGTCTCTCCTTGGCTGCTTCATCCCCTTGGTAACTTTATCTGACCGGCTCTTTACCCTCCCAGACTCTCATGAGTGCCTCCTGAGATGTGGAGCCCACAAGAGCTTGCAGTACACAGTACAGGCACACTAAGGTTTATACAAAGGCACAATTATGTCCTCTGCCTTGTCCTCAGCCTTCTGGTTCTGTTGGCTTTTTAGCTGCTTTTTAGCTGCTGTGTGCTTTGAGCAGAGCAGGTGGCAGGGCTGGCAGTGGTGACCACAGTGCAGCTCCTGAGCGGTTTTGGCTGGTTCTGTTCTCATCTGTTCCATGGGCATGGTTTGGAGGGAGCTCCAAGCTCTGTGCTTGCTGCATGGCAGGAGTGGCAGGGAGGGTGCTCCTGCCTTTGGGCCATAACTTGTCACAACCTCATCCAGGCACAGCATGTCTGGACCGTGTACCAGAGCTGCACGTACAGTCCTAAAATCCCACCGTTTTTTCAAGATATAAGGAGTGTGCAAGTAGCAACATCACACTCAAAATTTCCCAAAGTCCATTTTATTACACTTAACCTTAAAGGTTATCCATCTTATTGTTTTGTGACCAAAAATCTTCCAAGCAGGAAGCACTAAAAAACCACTTTATTTGACAGGAGTAAAGGTATCTGGATTTTTTTGACTGTGAAGAAGGAAACGACAGGAGACTTACAGTTGAAAATCACATGCAAAACAGAACTAAAGCTACTTTTGTTAGAAACTTTTCATTATACTCTCAGAAGTGTAATTTGATGTCCTCTGTCTCTGCTTCTTCACTCACAAGAAAAGGAATAAATAACTTGCCCCCTAGGAGCAGAGTTAGGCTAAATCTTTTAACACTTCTAAAGTATTTTTGAGTGTTTACTTGCTGTGCAAACACAAGGTTTGCTAATGCTATTCACCATGTGTTGCCATGTAAAAACTTTAGAGAGGAAGTAAGCAAGTTAAGAAAGTCTGAGCTGTCAAAATATTTGTTGCAAGGAGTTCTCATGTTCTTTCCAAGTATGGTTCATTTTCTTCTGTAAGCATATTTCTGCCTGCTTTGTTTAGCATTGAATTCTGAAGCATTTTGTGTTGCAGAGCTGTAGGCTAAAATGCTTTGTGACAGATAGCAGGCCATTTGATTAAAGCCATTCCAAGAATTTAAAATTTCAGAAAAATTACACTTTTTTTTTTTTCCAGTTTTTAATGCCTGCACTTACACAGAAACAAGAACAAAGAAATAATATATTAGAAAGGACAGATACCACAAGGGCACAAGTATTTAGCACTTCTTTGTCTGTTCCATTCAGAAAATTTTTTGAGCTACAAATGTTTCTCTCTGAATTGCTTAAAGCTTCTGTTTGCTATTAACTATCTTCTATTTGTCCTCAAACTATGGCCAGACAGCTTAGTAGTTTTAAAATGTCATTAGAAGTGCTCACAGATATTAGAATCTAAAACCCTTGAATTTATTACAGTTTGTGTTCATTTTCAGTGCTGTAAGATGCATAAATTGATCTCTCACAACAGCAAGCCACATTCAAATGACCCAATATAGACTCCAGAATTCAAAGTATTACAATTTGGTGTTCAGCAGCATTTCATTTTCTCTCACAGTTGCACTCTGTTTGTACCTTGTAATTTTGCAGCTGGTGGAAGAGGGACTACTGGTGATACCTCCTGTAACATAAGCACATGCCCACAGTCACAGCTTTACCTAGAGATTTGCTGTTTTGGGTCCTTTTGGGAGAGCCCAGCTATGGCAAACAAATTATTACCAACAACTCTGCATTGTTTCAACAGTGACAAAAGCACTTACCTCCAAATCAAATGGAAATGGAAATCTGGACATTTCCAAAGCTACCAACATTGATGCCCAGGGCACAATTTTACAACCCTAAGAAAAATTTCCTAGGAATCCAGAACATGTACGTAGGACAGGGAGTTGTCTATGCAGGTTTATACCTACTCTATTTCTACTTTGATTTACCCCAGCAGACCTTTACTCCAGTGAATCATCCTGCTACCTTTAGTAGAATGACTCACTGAAGTAAAGTCAGCAAGTTCCCTGTGCTCTGACTGAAGGGCAGGGGGTATTTTGCAGGCAATTAAACTATGAGCACAAAGTCAAGTCAGTGAGATGTTTTCTCAGCAGTTGCTGAGGTACTTCTGAAAAATTTCCATTTACTGGATCCACAGACCAATGAAGTCATAGGGAATTTCCCCATGGCCTGTGATAGGCATTGGATTAAGGTAGTGTAAGCAAAGTTGCCATAAAGTATTTTAAAGACTTAAAATACAGATACCTAGTATGAGTGATTTCAGAAAGACAGTTTGTGACTTACAAAATTAAAGTTTAATTGAACAAATTGATTTAAATAATAGGGATGTTGTTGAATGCAGGTTAAAACAGTACAAACAGCTCATGAAGCAGGAATTTCCATTGTGAGAAGAAAGGAAGGGAGGGAGCAGTATTGACACAGTTTGGCTAATCAGGAAAAGCCCAGACCTAGCAATGCAATCAGGGACACAAATCCACTCCTCAGAAAGTCCAGACCTAAAAGAAAACCTGCATCAGTCAGCAGAGTTATGAAAGGTGATTTAATAAAACATTGAATTTGTTCTCCTGGAAGGGCAGGAAATAAGCCCCGTGATAGCAGATATTAAAGTGATACCACCATTGCTTTCCACTGAAAGCTGGGTCTGTTGGCATTTTGCTCATTCCCCATTTTTCTTGCAATAGAGGGTTCTGTAAACAAAGTGCCAAAGCATGAGTGTGCTCCTGTGTAAGTCAGGATAAATTACAGTCCATGTTCACACACATGGAGCAGTTGCAGCATGCAGCATCCATCCATCCATCTCACACTTTTTTTCCTTGAAGGAGCTGAGGTCTGAGGTTGAGTTGGAGATCCTGGGAGAGACGGAAGGGCTCAATCTCTCCTTCACGGCCATCTGTAACAATGGGACCTTTTTTCCACATCAGAGGAAATGCTCTCATGTGAAAGTGGGAGATACAGTAAGTGAAGAATGTATTCTCCAAAGACACAAAGTTCATGTAATTTAGAACACAAGGTAGAGTTTTCTCTTTATTAAATTATCTTCCTTCAAACAAGTCACCAAAAAGCAGGCAGTATCTATGACCCTCTTGCTCTGTCCTGTCCATGCACTTCCTGAGCACCCCATAGAGCTCCCTGTGCTCGCAGCAGCCCCCGTTCTCTCTTCCAGGTCTCTTTCAACGTGACTGTAAGTCTCTCCTCTTGCGAAAAAACCAGAAGGCTCATCAAGATAAAACCTGTGGGGCTCAGTGACATGCTGGAGATGGAAATTCATCCCCTCTGCAGCTGTGACTGTCAGGCCAAGGCGGAGAAGGAGAGCCCAAAGTGCAGCCAAGGGAAAGGCTCTCTGGAGTGCGGGGTGTGTGTGTGCAGCCCCGGGTACGTGGGGCCGCACTGCGAGTGCCATGAGAGCTCCCTGGGTGCCAGCTCCTGCCGGGGCCCAGCCGAGCACAGCTCCTGCAGCGGCAGAGGCGACTGCTACTGCGGGCACTGCCTGTGCCACCCGTCCCCCTTCGGAAAGGTGTACGGGCCCCGCTGCGAGTGCAATGACTTCTCCTGCCTCAGGCACAGAGGGCTTCAGTGTGCAGGTACGGTCCCTCGGTGCTGGCCTTGCTGTCCGCACTTCGAGCTTCATGTGGATTTGTATTTTCATTATATATTCAGTTGCAGCCAATTCCGTGTAAAGAATTACTAGTTATGAATGGTCTTTAGACTTAAAATAGTTTCGGCTATGCCATTATAAATTGGAAGTACTTACAAATTGTTGTGACTTACAAATTGGAGAGACAACTCCTGCTTGTGCACTGCCAGGAGGCAAGAACTGCATGGCGGACTCCAGTAGAGAGAATGGAGCTGCACTGGCTTACAGCCAGTCTAAGCAAAAATCTGATCCTCTTACTTAAAACTGAAGATTCTGGGAGAGAAAGAAAAATGTTTGGAAGAAGAGTTAGAGAGAGAAAAATATTTTCTGTTAAAGAGAATAATTTTAAAGATCATACTTCAGACTATTTTTGAATTATAAGTGACTGAAGTATAATGAACGTTTTTTTCCAGGCAATGGTGACTGTGACTGTGGGGAATGCAAGTGCCACAGTGGATGGACTGGTGAATACTGTAATTGCACAACTGATACCAGCACCTGCATTGCTGAGGATGGGACACTGTGCAGTGGGAGAGGTGACTGCATCTGTGGGACATGTGCTTGCACCCATCCAGGTGCTTCGGGCCAAATGTGTGAAAAATGCCCTCTCTGCGGTGACCCCTGCAGTTCCAGACGGTAATGTGCTGGCTTTAAACCTCTGATGTTTATATCATCCAGGTATCTATTTCCTACACTCCCTCAGCAGTGTGTTTACTGCCATGTCTGTAAATTGGATTTACAGACCAGAACCCAAGAGCTTCTTTGCCCTTTGAGGTGGGTAGTCACAACTCATCTATCAACCATTCATGAGCATTACTCTTGTACAAAAGGGCTTTATGTGAAACTATTAAGTCAACTTCAAGCAGCACAGGTAAAACTTTAGATTTCCACTGCTATCCCTGGCTGTACAACTAATCAGAATGGTGACCTTATCTGACATTTATATGGCCTCACAGAAAAATTTGGCATTTGTATTACCATTTTCATACATATGAATGAGTAAGGTCATGCTGTCCATTCAGGCTTCACACATTTGCAAAGTCATAGTCCAAATTCAGTTAAGCTTGGCTGAATTAAAAAGGTGTAAGTATAATAAACTAGATAATAGTCAAGGAATGAATAAGTAGGTAGCTGTATGTCATGTATAAGTGGATGATAAATTGATTGTAAATGGTGAAATGTCATCTGTCCACTGAGCATACTCAATTTATGTAGTTTTCCTGCTGTGATGCTGTGGAGCATGACAGGAAAAGCAACCAAAAATACGAAGGTTGTGAAGATGACCACTCTAAGTACACCATTGCTCATGCTTGTATTACATGAGCTAATATAATAGTATAATAGTAGGGCTACAGTCCAAACGGAGCAGTCTTCAGCAGAAATTTAAGCTAGAAGTTGGGTTAGGCTTCACAGAACACACGTTATTAATGACCTCGGCTTTGCTTTCTGAGTTCTGAGCAGTTTAGGTTGCATGGTTCATGACAATGTCCTGTCTCCTTATTTAGAGCTGAGACCCATTTCTCTCCAACACTGTATTTTCATACCTGTCATTGCAATCTACAGTGCATCTGAGTGAAAAGCTATTCTATGATGTCATTAATTCATCAGTCTCTTTCTGTTAGTGCTAAATTTGCCCTAAGAAAACTGAGACTCTTGGAATGTTCAAAGAGAATTTCTGCATGCAGCTGCTCTAAACAAAAAGAATAATTCTGCTGCTTTGCTCTACCCAATCTGGCAAAGAATAAGAAATAAAAAGTTGCATGATAGGCATTACATTAACCCATTTAAACATGTATATTGTATGCAGTGTTGGATCTTTCTGTTTCAGTGTCTTCTCTTGCTGAAACGCAGGGCACAAAAAGAAAAAGAGAGAGAACACTGGGAATAGCTGGGTAGGGTAACAGAGAGCTGAAAGACTAGGTCAGAGGGGGTGGAGATCAATGGCAAGGCAGCTGAGAAAGAGAGTCTAGCATGAGAAACATGGTGGATATGACAAAACCACCACCAACACTGAATTTATCTCCATGAGATAGAGGCTATCCCATTACCCACTGACTTTTACTATTCACCATTTCCAGACTGAGGGATAAGGTCACCTCCATATCCTGAAGATAAATTCAGTAGCCTCAGCTTATTCCCATGGATATATGTAACTCAATGCAACAGGAGATAGGCAGGGGCTTTTTTATATTCTGTTGCAGTTCCCCTTTTTCCCTTTCATTTTTCCTCTCCTCTTCTCTCCTTTCTTCTCTCCTTTCTTTCCTTTTTTTTTTTTTTATGGAATCAGTCTTTCAGGCTGCTTCTCAGAGTCTCAACCACTCAGTTTGGCTGAAGCTATTTGTGAGAAATCAGCAAATACATTTTCCATCAGAAATGCTCATGTATGAATTCTGTTTGTTGTTTTATTTTTCATTAATAAACCCTGGATTTATTTAAATCCTCAATGAATTTACAGGGAGATTTCTAAAGGAATTGGTCTAGACTCTGAGTTTTTAAATAATATTTCAGTCATTCCACCACTGAATAAAAAAATAATTTTCTTTTAAGTTTCATTAGTATAATTAGGATCTAAGTAATTCCTGAGACAAGTAATCATATTCAAGAGACAACAGTTGAGACACCTGAAAAGTGTTTTAATGCATTATTCAATAGACTAGCAACAAAGGCAGATTCATAGCAGGTGCCTCAGCTTGATCTCTTTGAAGTCAATTTCAGATATTGTTCATCTGATAGGAATTCCTTCAGCTGGTATTTCATGTGAGAATATTTAGTCTTCAGAATATTTATTTTTTTAATTTTTGAAGATGAATGTTACATGTGAGTAACCACATGTCTTTGATAGACCTACATGAATAATGTTGCCCGGGGTTCTGTCTGGTAGCTAACAAACTGGGAGAGAATAGAGGACAAGACAGAGCTTATCCACAATACCTTTATTCAGGCGGGTTTTGGTTTTTTTTGTTTGGTTTTGTCAGGATTTTCTTTGGTGGTAGTACCTATCATATTCCTGAGAACTGCTGTATCCATAGCAAAAGACCTTTTATTTTGTTCCTTTTTAAAATGCAGATGCACATACACTGGCTTTTGTATTGTTGCTTTGTGGCAGGCAGAGATTGATGGGCTGCTGAATTATTTTGCACAGGAGCTGTGTGGAATGTCACTTGGCTTCCGATGACAAGTCACTGGGAGATTGCAGCGAAAAATGCAAATTGGTTGATGCAACTGTCAGCATGGCAAAGGGTTGGTATACTCAGCCTTCCTTTCTTGCGTGTGTGTGTGATTAGCAGGACATTCCACTTTCAGTAATTTTATATTTGAAAGCAGCCTTGTTTTTCTGCTGTGGAATTATATTATGGGTCATAATATAATATGTACTGTCTGTCTATGGTTCTTCTGAGGCAAGTAGGAAATGCAGAACAGGGCTGCTATAACCCTTCCAGGTAATTAACTCATTGGATCATGCCTATTTTCTAAGTAGTTCATGCAGGAAAGTAGAGAATTTAATAAATACCAGTCCCAGCAAATCAGTGATAGACGAAAGTTCCTGAGTTTAGGTTATGCCTGTACTGTGAGTTCCAGTTGGGCTTCTTCAGCCTTACAAATACAAAACCTGACTCCAATCCTTAGGCAGATTCTTGATTGCAGCTGGTGTAATCCTTTAACCAGTGGCAAAGATATTTCTTGTGTTCTAAAAGGCTAAGAACATCTTCCAGCTGTTTGCTTTAATTCAAAGTGCCCTGCATCAATGGGAATTTCTAGAATGGCAATTAATCTTGACTAAAATAGTACTATCAAGAAAAAAAACAAAAAAAAACCCAAACCCCACCACAATCAAAAAGATCCAAAATAAACCTTTCAATCAAAAAAGTGCATTTTTTTTTTCTGTAAAGGAAGGTGCCTGCTCAGCAGGCAGCCTGTGTTTGTTCTAGTGGCAATTCTAGTCCCAGTCCTATGGCACAAGCAATTGGTAAGTAAGGCAGGACATAGGCTAGCTATAACCACATCACAGATGTACCATAAGCATTAAACACAACAAATGTAAGAATGAGGACAACAATGCAGAGTCCTGTGTGCGTGTCTAAGGTTTGTATCTGCAAGCTCTTGGAAGCCTATCCAGAGCTGTGTGCTTGCAGAAATGCCACTGATGTACATCCTTCCAGCAAAGATGCACCTTTTGATGGCAATACTTCAGTATTTTTTTTATCAATATAAAAATATCTTTACTTAAAAAACATGTAAGCACTTCTATTGTATCTCTTCAGTTAGTAAAGTTTTCAGGTTACTTTTGTAATGTGGCAGATATTTGTAGCTAGAAATGTATAAAACATTATGCTTTCAAATATAACAAATACTAATTAAGAGCAGAAACAGCCTTTTTTATAGTTCTGTTCACATACACAGGTCACAGGAATATAAACATGACAATATTATCTCCTATGCCTGCATATTTCCTTTTTTCATGTCCTGTGCTTCCCTGATTGGCACTTTCAGCTACTTCTTTAGATTTAAAATTTATTTACAACAGTTGCTGCAACCTTCGTGCTCCCATACAAATGCCTCAAAAAAAAAAAAGACAAATAAAAAAGCAGCAGATTTTGCAAACTGTTTCATCTGAAATGCTTGTGTAGCCTCATTAGAAATCCTGAAAGAAAAAAAATTAATCTTTAAAGTAATAGCTAAAAAATAAACATAGAATAAAAATTATTACCTGAACAAAACCCACCAGTCTGAAAGTGGTATAACTAGCACACCACATAATATTTAAGACAGATTATGAGCAACTTCATGGGGTAGTATACTTCTTTCTGGTTTATATTTTAATTTCTTTAATGCTTCAAGGCTTTTGGGGAAAGAAAAAAGTAAAAGCTCTAGGCTAAATAAAACATTAGCACTTCAAAAATTTTGTTTCTCTTTTGCACGTGGATGTTGCAATCCAATGACTGGAAGTGTGGAGCAACAAAGAAGCGTGGGCTTTATATCTTCCTGTTTCCTGGGAGCGCTCATTTGAGACTCTGAGTCGTGCCTTTCCCCTCCCTGCTCTTGTTCTGGGTTTGCCAAGGTTTTCTTCTCCTGCTCCCCAGCAGCAGGTCAGGTCAGCCCAGGGATCTGCCAGGGCATGGGGTGTCCAGCAGCTCTGCAGGTGCTGATGGCTTCACTTTACTGGGCTTATCTCCACAGCAGGCAGCACTTTCGAACTTTTCATTCACTTTTAATACTGGAACATTTCAATTAGGCTAATTGCCCCTTTGCCACACAGGTGTAAGAGGAATTCTTGTTGCTCTGCTCACCATGCATGAGGAACCAAAATTCCTAAAGGGCTTCTTCTGCCACCACCCCAGCCACAGGGCAGCAGGCTGCTCCTTCCACAAGCCCAACAGGGACAGTTACACTTTCCCTGGAGAACCTAAGATTTTCCTACCCCATAATGCTGAGGCCTCACAAATTCCCAGTGCAGCAGCAAAGTGGTTACTGGAGACTGAATAAACCTCTATATCAGCACTGCTCTAAGTCAAAGTGAGGTGAATTCTGCTCGAAAAAAGCATTTTGCTGAGCAGAAGGCAAACAAGGAAGGGCATAATGACATTTAAATTTACGGTCAACATTTTTGTTGCTGGATCTTTCATAAATGTACCTGTTAAGAAACAGTCTTTCATGCTTTGAGTCTCCTGCTTGCCACTGGTATCTGATTCCTCCTCCAGTGTTACTCCAGTTATTTAAAATACAATTTAAATAGCCAGAATTAGGCTGCAGAAGAGTGTGACGATTCACTGTAGAATGCAGAAAATTACAGGAATTTACCTACCTAGGCAAATTTTTGTGCTGATGAACTGCAAATAACATATGCAAGGTCTCTCTTTAGTGATCCCTCATTCTAAAAATAACATCAGAGAAATAAAAATACTAACCATAAGCTGGATTCTGAATAGCTTGAACTGGCATTTTTGCTTTCATTTCCATATCACTGCACATAATCAGTACTCTGCTCCCCTTGGTTTCAAATTATAACATTAAATAAAAAAATTACCATGTAAAAATAACTAATCTGTGTGCAGTTACTGCCTTCTGGATGATATTTTGTATATGCTTGCAAGTTTTTCTACATGTTCAGTATAGCTAACAACTATCTTTTTCTTTTTTTCCTCATTGTAAGCAAGTTAATATTTTGAATCTGCTTGCTTAAAAGAGTTGGGAAAGTACAAACATTGCAAAACTTTTGACAGTGTTACTGGAACTGTGATGTGCCAACAAAAGCCATAAGCCTGCAGTTCCTGGCCCTTCCAACAAAACCAAATCTTGTTAAATCAGCAGGTCTAGGCTGCCTGTCCCCTTGGTGGATTCCTCTGCCACCAAGGACTAGCAACAGGTTAAATGCAAGGCTCAGATCAAGAGCAGGTTTAATCCAACCAGCTAGGGTTCTCTCTTTAAAACAAGCAGAGAAAAGGACTGAAGGGCAGTCAATACTGTCATATTTTCTATGGTGTCTAATAGTATTTTCTATAAAACCTAATTTTATGATAATAAGCAATACGGGGAAGAAAAAATAGACCAAGCACTTTCTAAAAATGTAATGTAGGTTTCTTTAAAATGCTCTATTCTTGTCTGATTTCTATTCAATTACTCTTCATATTAAAGTTTGAGGACTTAAAGATTTTTCACATAATTGCTTATGAAATTTCATTAAGAGATTTGAATGGGTAGAAAATAATGGTCAGTGACAGTTATTTTTAAGAAATATTTTAGAAGCCTACTGTTTTTCTTTCTTCTAAAAATAAATCCTAAGAAGTTTGACTAAAATATATTGAAAAGCATACCTAGATTTGCAGTGATACTCAAATCATGGGCTATATGGAAACATAAACATTTAGCCCCAGAGGTATTATTGCACACAGGTATAAAGTATTTTTTTTTCTGTAAAATATTATATTATATTTACACTCCTAATGATGACATTTCTGGCTCTGTACTTGTACTCTCACTTTTTGATTGCCTTATTTGCTTGATATTGTCTCTCAAAGTCAGCTTCTTTCTGTCTCTCTGTTTCCTTTGAATGAATTCTTCTCAGCTCCCCACTTAGAAATAACCTGAAAGGAAAAAGTGGATTAAGTTTTTGTGCAATCAATGGTAAATAGAGGGATGAATAAATGGGGTCAGACTGTAATCTCAGGTCAATTTTTTTGCTTCATCCGGAGTCCCGTTACAAAAATCCCAGAATGGCAGTTTTCTGTTATTAATCTTTATTTATTCCTGTGTCAGTATTGGACACACAGAGACCTTTGGGGGGCTTGTTGTGTAGGAAATGAATGGCAGCCCTTTAAACAGCATCTATAGCTGCCTGATATATGTATATCTACTTCTGAAACATGATCCAGAGGTGGCAGGAGTAGCTGCAAAGCAAAGGAACATACTTTGTCCCATAAATTGGGGGTATTACATTTCCTAGACAGCTGCCAGTTAGGAGTCTTGGGGGCACTTCCAGTCCATTGCAATTCATGGTACACTAAAGTAACAAGGTGCACTAGATGGTCAGTGCAGATTGACAACATCTGGATCAGTTCTTCAGAAATATAAGTGAAAAATCAGAAAGTAAACAAAATTGGGATTGGAAGAAAAACCATTAAATTTAGTAGAAATTCTGAGAGTATTTCTGCTTTTGTCTTTCACTCTTTTCCTTCTGCAGACAGTCTCTCTGGTTATTAAAGGTTAAATTTCATTTGTTCTGATGAATTACTTTTTTCCTTCCCTCTGCAGATTATTCAGAGGATAAATCCATTTCCTGCTCTTTGCAGGGGGAAAATGAATGTATAACCACATTTCTACTGGCTGCTGATGAACAGGGAAGGACAGTCATTCACAGCATAGAACAGAAAGGTAAGCAGTGAATATTGGTTTTTGTAGGTGAAATTTAATTTAAAAGCACAGACAGGGTTAACAACCTAGAAGCAGAGCTCTTTTAAGCAGCACATCGCCTCCTTGTGTTTGTAGCTCTTCTCTGCCCAGCCAAAGAGCTCCTCAGATACTTACTTAATGAAGTGGTGACATAAATACTTGGCTTCTCATGAAAAATGGGCAGAATGATCCTCGGTCTGTAAGAATAAGTTAATTTTCTCAAAAGCTTGTGCAGCTCTAAGAGGATGATACCAAACTTCATTTGCATTATATGATAAATAAATAATTCACTTTGAAATTATATATACTTCATAGATGGACAAATGTTCAAATTACTAATTCAGTACACCTGATGAAATTCTAAAATATATTTATAATTCTTTTTAATGTTGCAGTATCATAGAATCATAGAATGGTTTGGGTTGGAAGGGACATTAAATTCATCTAGTTCCAAGCCCTCTGCCACAGGCAGGGATGCCCCTCTCAAAGCCCCATCCAACCTGGCCTTGAACACTGACAGGGTTGAGTCATTCACAACTTCTCTGTGCAGCTTGTTCCAGTACTTCACCACCCTCACAGTGAAGAATTTCCTTTTAATCTGAACCTATCCTCTTTCAGCTCAAAGCTATTGCCCCTAGTCCTGTCACTACATGCCTTTATAAAGTCTTTCCCCACCTCCCTTGTAGCCCTTTTAGGTACTGGAAGGCACTCCAAGGTGTCCCTGAAGCCTTCTTTTCTCCAGGCTGAGCAACCCTAACTCACTCATCCTTGTGGGAGAGTTGTTCCAGCTCCCATTAAATTTTGAATATTTTGCAAAACTAACAGATATAGAACAGCTCTTTATGTCCTTTCATTTAACATCAGTTCTTCATTTACAGCTGTTTCATTATTGATTTTTCATTAAATCTCTTAATCAAGTAGGACAGGAGAGAACACAGACACCACTTTTCAGCAGCCAAATAGTTTCTCTTCCAGGGAATAAAGGCATCTTCATACTAAATATTAGTTATGTTTTAGGCAAAGCCATGCAGTTTGTAACTTTTTTCTGTTTCCACTAATGGGATTTATTTTGTTAGGCCTTTGTGTAGCCTTTCTCTAAAAAATACGTGAGAATGAAGTTGATCTTACTGTACAAAAAAATGCAGCTCCTGCCATAAGAACATTAGTCTGGTTTTGTACAGGTTTCTAGTATAGCAAGTGTGCTTGTAACAAAGGCACACCTCTTAAACTACACCCCTAAATCCCTAAGATTCAAGAAATTAAAGGTAAGATTTTGTCTTTATTAAATACTTTATTATGCATTTTGAGTATATTTGAGCAAAAGAAAAAAAATTAAAAAAAAGAAATGTCTTACAGAAGGCACAGTTCATTGACCTCTATGTAATGGCCCTCCCACAATAACCAGTTTCACTGTCATCTGCTGTTCTGCTTCTTGACCTAAAAATGTGAACTGGGATGAGACCACAGGAAATTTTCTAGAAATACAATTTAATTCTTGGAACTGAAGTCAATATGGTACCAGTAGCCAGAACACCAGCCCATTGCCCAAACCAGAGCTGCCCAGAATTAGTTAACTGAGGCCATCAAGCAAAAACAGAATGTGAAATGCAATCATGTAAGACAAACAAGACTGAAATGACTTTTTTTTTAATGTTCTGAAATGGTTCAGCAGAAAATTTTGTAAAATAGTAGTGTTCCCCAACTTCCATAGGCAGTACTTTCTCATACTAAAAGAATCAAACTTCTTTGGGTTTTGGTGGAGCAAAAATTTCAGTTTTAATTCTGAGTCTCTGAAATATTTTATCATAAAATTTATTGCAGAACTTGAAATGCAAAATTCCTTCCAATTTCACAGTCCAACATTTTCAACAAATCTGAAGGAATTTTTCCCTCATTGTTTTCATGAGAGAAGTGCAGTTTCCTCTGTTTGATCAATATCTTTGGTGACTTTACCCTAACAAAGATCTCACCAGAATCTTTTCTTCTGCAACCCACGGAGTATGAGTTAATTGAACTAGACCTCCAGCCATAACACTGTAAAATTCATAATTTTCTCAACTCAGCCCTGATTTTTATAATTATATTGTAACAGATCTGTTACAATATAACAGATTGTTATATTGTATTATTCTGACTTTTCAGAATCTGTGTCTGCATCCAGCAGCTGCTAATTGTCATGGTAAAAGAGCAATGGCATAAGTTAGCAAATAATTTTTAAAACTTTTTAATGCAGTATTTTTCAGCTGGTTACACAAACCCTTTAGCAATCTAGCAGGAGAAAAATAACATGAACTTCAAGAAAAAGACATGCCCAGCTCATGGCAAATGAGAATCTCAGCACACCTCTTTGCTTTTTTTCATTGCCTAAAATTTATTGATTGGTTATCCACAGTCATAACTGGTTTTGTTTCCACAGATTGTGCACAGCATCCAAATATCCCAATGATAGTGGTGGGTGTCACCCTTGCTATCCTTCTCATTGGCATTGTTTTACTCTGTATATGGAAATTACTGGTGTCAGTTCAAGACCGAAAAGAGGTGGCCAAATTTGAAGCAGAAAAATCAAAAGTTAAATGGCAAACGGTATGTGAAATACATTGATTTTATACAAGGTTCTTTAGTTTGGTTACATGATGCATAACTACCTTTAAAATTTTGTGCGTTGATTTTGTTCTTTTAAATGGATATATTTTTCTGGTAGGTTTTCACCACTTTATTTTTATTCTATAAAGTAAAATTATGATTCTTTAATGGATGAAAATTATCTAATGTTTAATCTCCTGGTTTAATTTCTTCTACATGTAAGAATGTGTAGAAAACTTATTTTTTATTAATTGTTTTTAATTAGTAACCAGTCTTCTATTAATCCTTACAATGCTATTGTCTGCCTGTATGGTTATCCAAGGTGTACCCCTCTGGCCAGAAAGAGCTGGTTAGGAAAGGGAGGCTGTTCCTGGCCTCTGTCATGATCCAGCTCAGCAGAAGTGAATGGAACTGTCCCAAATGTAGGGGGAAAGGACAGAGAAATCCAGGCCTTGTTTTCTATCTATAGCTCTGGGCATCTAATGTAACCTTACACCACATGTTCCCTTTCCTTTTTTCATTTCTGCCCTTGACTTTTTGCCCTTTTGCAAAAGCTTTAGGACTTCTGAGGATCTTTTCAAAAAAGCATGTTGAGTAAGCATTTCTGGTGGATGTTAGGAGGACAGGCAATGTGTTCATGTGGCTCCGTGCTCCTACAAAGTCCTGTGATTGCAACTTTTTCCAAGAATGGGCACTGCCAGCCTTTCAGCTTTTGACCTGGGAAAAATCCCTAACTTACAGGCAAGGCCATCTGAGAATGTTTTCTTGATCCTTCAGGAGAAATAGGTATGGCAAGAGTGAAGGGAAGGATACAGCTGATAGATGCATTTTGATTTTCTTTTCTGTCACAAGAGGGAAGAATAGGAAGTGATTGATGAGAGGCCAGGATGAAAAGCTCAGGTGAGACTTGCCCGTCTGCCAGCTCACAGAGGGTACTGTATGTGACAAGAGCACCATGACAAGTCGTACCTAGCTGCTGAGACACTCTCTGTGGTTTTGTAATGGTGCAGCTGCCAGATTTGATACGCATATTGTATCAGACACATTTGATGAAGCATTGTTTGATGATGTGCATTACTTTAATCTGGGAGGCTGATGTGAAGGAAAGCATGTTCCTGACTCCAGGCTCATTTGTGCTGCCTGAATTCAGTCTGAATTTCAGGGGCTTGGAACACAAGTGATCTACCAAAAGCTATTCTAAAGTCTTCAAAGATACAACATTACTTCTATACAAACATTGTGTGACTCCTACTTAATTTGTTTTTGTTTGGGTGTTTTGTTTGTTTGTGTTTGATTTTTTAGGAAACAAATCCACTGTACAGAGGCTCAACAACCACTTTTAAAAATGTGACTTACAAGAACCAAGATAAGCATAAAAGGCCCATGGCTGCAGATTTCTATTAGCACCTCCAACACTACAAACTTAGTCTTACTGGCAGGAAATCTGAATCTAAAAGTGTTTCTTCTCAGCTGATTATGTGATATTTGTTTGCAAGTTGCAGTGGTATAACCATTCTGTTAGAGAACATATGTCTTGTGTCGTGATAAATAAAGATAACATATTAGTAGTAAAGGTTAGTAGAAATACTTTTTTATAAATGACCCTTTATTGTTAAAGCCCCCATCTTAAAAAAATGGCACCACAAATAATTTTAATTTTGTCTTTAATACAAGGATTATAATTTACCATGTAAGCTTATTTTTTGTTAAATTAGATATATGCAGTGAACTTTATGCTAGTTTCTCATACACACAATTCCATAAATGAGTGTTTAGGAATGTATTTGTACAGGTCTATTTTAAATTTGTACAGGCTGGTTTAAATTTAGAAAAGATTTTTTTTTCATGAATGCAGTTTAAACAACTGAGGACTGAGCTTTCTCATATCATCTGTGTCACTGAATAGTTTCTCACCAGAAAAAAGTAGTGATGGTGCCTGTCTTCTGTAAATGTAAGTTATAAAGAAACATTTCTTCTCTAATCCTTCTTTCATTGTCCTGTTTCTCTCTTTCCTTTTCCTTGTTGCCCTTTGATGTTCTTTAAAGACCTAGGCCCTGGGATTATCTCAGGGAAAGTTAAATCAAGCCAATCAAGCCTTATTCACTTGCAGTTGTTTTGCCCTCACAATACACCTCACGTGCTGGACCATCACACAGTGGCTTAGGAGCCCTTTACAAGCAGAAATATTCACATAAAAGGTTTATTATCACACACAAAGACAGTACTCATTTTTGGTATGTCCAAAATTGTGAGGTTCTTTCAATGCCCAACAGCCAAACTGCTTATTCTTGTGCATAACAACATATTCAGCTCTTTTGGGCTGGGTTGTTTGGTTTTGGATTTGGTTTGGTTTATTTTCCTCCAAACTAAACAACAAAAAAGATCTATGGATTTCACTTCGTATTAATTTCCATTATCTTAATGAGGATTTTTAAATCTCCATTTTAGCTAATTACAAATGACTTGCTGTAAATTTTTGAATTGTAATCGGTTAGCATGAATAGCACTGAATAAAGAAAGTAAAAAAGTAGCTAACATGCTGGGATAGAAAAATTATAACATTGGACTATTTTAAGGTAACAATAATGAACTTTACTTTTTAATATCACTTTTCAGCTGAATTTTTGCTACTCTGAAACAGATGGTCAAAATGTACATATGAAGGTACCTAGAATAGAAGACAAAGAAATCAAAGGTACTTTGCCACTGTTACAAACGATCACATACATTCCCTAAGGTAAATAGGGAATTTGATCTGAAAAAGTATAGATCTGAATATATTTGATCTGAAAAAGTCAATGTCCATTTTGTAATAAATATTTACCACATTTGTACAACTTCAGTCTCCATATCCTCCACAATTTCTGGGACTGAGACTGGTTTATTAGCAAGCTCTGACCCATGCCTGTTTTAGGGCCTGATCCAAAGCCTACTGGAGTCAATGGCTACAGATGTGGATCTAGTTTCAGTGAAACTATTAGTTTTGGTTTACAAAGATTGTTTTGTTTAAACAAACTGGTTAGTACTGTCTATTAGTGAGTTAGAACCTGTAGTACATATGTCTATACAAAGAGAAATAGTATCAAATGCCTTTGGAAGGAAGGTGATGCTGGAACCATGTATTAAGTACATAATTCTAGGGTGTGATGGAAATGATGGCTGTGGTCCAGCTGGAACAGATTTGCATCTGTGTTCTGGTATTCCTGCATATCTCATAGTGGAAAGTGCACAGATAAAGGCTTGCATCTATGGCCCTTCCAACCACTAGACTCCCACAGATGTCAGTGCAAGTTACATAGGGGACCAAATCCCATTTCCCTGGCACGTGGATAAACTCATGGGATCCAAAGCTGGCCCCTGAATCTGCTCAGATTCCATTTGGGTGAGGATTGCCTAAGGGACTAGGGAAATCTGGATTTCACCCATGTAGGTTATCTGTTACTCTTTTCTTTCTCATGTAGAAGTCATCAAATTATAAACTTTCACTGAAAAAAATCAAAATACTTTCATTACTTTTCAAGTAATAAAAACCCTATACTGCTTATTAAATACATTTTAAGTTCTGAGATCTAATTTTGCTGCTCAATATTAGGGTTGAAAGCCTTTCTCCTGTAGGCTGCCCATCTCAATATTCCAAAGTATCTCAGCCTTCAATTGTTAATAATAAATTGGTGTTTGCATTTCATATCAAATGCTTGGTGCTCTACATTCCCTGTTCCTATAGGAGATCTCATTTCACAAACCTTCTCACCCTCTTCCCATCACTTGTGTCTTCTGATCATCAGCAGAGATCAAATTTGTTATGTTTACAGTCCAATTGCTCCTCCTAACAATCTCTTTCCAAATTCTTAAAAATGTTCAGGAGCCAGGCAGGATGAGTTGCAATTTCCCTGCTGTGACTCACAGTAGTATAAATTTTCTGTGCACCTTCCAAGTTGTCAGGCTGGAAATCACTCAAACAATTAGAATTTATCAGAAGAGAGAAAATAGAAGGACTTGGTGAGGAAGGTTTCTATTATTGAGGGATATGAAATAACTCAACTCATACATACAAGCCATCCTTTAATAGCATTAATTTAGATCATAAATTTTGACTAAACTTCCAGATTTCAAGAACTTTGAAGATCTCACTTGGCATTCACCCTATAAAAAAGAATGGTATTCATCCCTTTTTGTTAACTATATCATTTTCATCTTGTAGAATTTTTATCAAAGTTCATATTTTTCTCTTTTTAAAATTTCTTTCTCCACCAAGCTATAAGTGAGTTTGTGTGTGGTAAGTGGGATGAAAAATTCTTTCTGCTGTTTTCACAAACACTGTTTTGACCTCAGGCTGGTCTTTGAGAGTGGACAAAACACTTTTTAACAGTAATACTTCTATTCACTAATGATTTAAATTGAATAAAAGAATAATCATTAGCAATTTTATGGTGTATCTCATACACCCTGTTCAGTAATGTATGTTAAATGGACAGTGTTTCATTTGATTTATAAAAGGTGCATGTTAATTTGTATTGTATATGTCCAGATTACATTCAAGTTTGTTTTGTAATGCAGCTAGTGGGTAATGGGTCTGGGATACAAGATTCGGGTGTCAAGTGCAATACTCTCCATGCTTCATCTGCCTTTATGTGGGAAGGTTTGTTTGGCAGTGTGTTATTGCCAGAGTTATTGCCCCCCAAAACTTACCACACACAATCTAAAAATAAAAAGACAATTTTAACTTCATCTATTTGAAAGAAACCAGTAAATCATTCAACTTGTTTGTGTAAAAAAGGAGTTATTTGACCTTGAATAAAGATTGTAAAGTTGAATCATTTTATAATACGTTTTCTTTTTGTTCATTCTTCATTTTCCCTTTTGGCATGTGTCTTTATCACTGTTTTCACATGATTTCACAAATCTTAGCAAATTTCTCATGCTTTGGCATACCTTAGAAATTATTTTCCTCACCACTTTTAAAAGACAGCACATGAAATTTAATGTCTAGATTTTTTTCATTTGTGATCCTTTTACTTTTCAAGGAAGTGACTTAATAGACAAATGTTGCAAGCAGCCTATTTCTGGAACACTGATTGATGACATATGTAGTTCTTTCTTTCTTTAGAACTAGATGAACTTTAAGTTTTTTCCAGCCCAAACCATTCTATGATTCTTTCATACAGATCCCTAAATTGCACAAGTTGTGTAAGATCCACCCATTCTGTCAGGTAACAGCAGGAATATCTTTTTGAAAATACAGCAAAGTGTGTATTTTTTTTTAGTCCTTTCTTAAGTGCTGGTTCATAATTCCTTAGGGATGAGACTGACTCTATATCTGATTTATAAGAATTTTGAAGACAACAACAAAAAAATCTGTCTACTCATTTTTATTGAATACAAAGTAAGGTATCTAATACAAGGATTATTTCACCTGAGAAGAAATTGGTTAAAGAGAGAGTCAAAGTAAAATTTCTTTGAGTTTCCCCATGCATATATTCTCTAATGAATACAAGAAATGTTTTTATATTAGCAGGAGGATTTTGGAGTCTAATTTTGGGTCATGTAAGCGTGGCTGAGAAAACATTATCAGCTCTTGTGGGAAGGAGTGTACAAGGTGCAAAGGCACATCCTCTCCCAACCTGTGAAATCATATCAGTACTGAGCAGACATCATGCCCAAGAATTTCTGCAAGCATAATATATTTGTTCCCAGTGCTACACCCAGTCAAGTTTTTTCCCAATTAGACTGATAGTACTTTGTTAGTGGTTGTCTGTTCTTCCTGAGTTGTTCACAGCCTTCTAGTAAATCTAGAGTGTAATATTAATAGCTTTATTTTGGGGAAACATTAGGCATTCTTTCGGTGGCAAATTTTGCAAAAACTGCTTCATTCTTCCATCGATTTCACAGCAATTGTACTAACAAGAATGGCAAAAAAATTACTGTTACGTTGAAGGATAAATTTCACAGCAGGTATGGTTTTGCCAAGGATCTCAAATGTAAAGGATAAGGTGAGGAAAGGCTTTGAGAAACCAAGAGGGATGTCCTAGAGGCAGCTCTGGCCCCATTAGCCATTTATGTTTTATTGCAAGTATTTAAATATTGGATTTTTCCCTTAATGCCATATCAAATGAACTACATGAATATCTTCCTGCTATTGAATTTGATATAACTACCAATCAACAGCCAGTCTGACATGCTAGATTTATAGTAAAAGTAACATTTCTACCTAGTATTAAATCATGTACTATAACAAACTATTCTACACTAGTGAGCATTTACAGGGGGAAGAGGGACGGAGGGCTTGGAAAGGTTAGGATTCACCAGGAGATGGCTCATGTGGTGCAGTAAGAGTCACAGAGGTAGTAACTCTCTCCATTTCATGACTGTGAAAGAATAGCTGCTATTTAACAGAATTTAGAAGCATAAACTCATAGTAATGCTCTTATCACCTTTAAAGGAGTTTTTACTTTGAAAAAGAAGTTTCAAGTCTGAAGCTAAAGAGCTAACAAATAAAAATAAGCAGTCACCTTTAGGAAAAAAGCAATACACATTCTGACTAATGAACATAAAACTGGCAATTTACAGCTGGGATTTGACTTACCCTGAAACTGGCCAGTACAGACTGTTCTGTAAGGTTGTGTTACCCAATGTGAGCTGACAGGGACAGAAATTGCAAAGCCTGGTGGCTGCAGTAATTAGCTGGGAGCATGGGAGACTGGAGTGGTGTGGCAGAAACACACAAGTGGGGCTGCCAAAAGGAATAAGGGTA